TGTCCAGACCCAACCTCACACAACGTTCGGTTCGAACCCATCGCTCCGCAAAAATCTCAGACAACTTTCTGTTCGAACCCCTCAGAAGATGATTTTCCGGATACCTTCTCAGAGATGCTCTGGAGCACTAGGGCACCTCGATCGATCTTCAGGCGAATGTTCATGAGAAGGACCTAACGCTCAACTATGAGTTGATCAAGGAGGTGATGATGGCGATGAGTGGTTCACTGCCGAACGGGATCCCGCCCCTGAAGGACTTCGAGGGTTCTTGGCCCTGAATCGATATCGATCGTTTCGATGGTGAAATCTGTGCATGTGCATGATCTGCTGGAGCATTGGGGGGTTGTTGCATATACCCAGGCCGCCTTTGTGTACACCACTGCGGCGCACAACTTGCATGTGGAGCTCCACCAAGTCCGAGGGGGGCAAGAGGAGGATGAGAGATCTTTGGCCAAATCATGAATTATATAACTCTTCTAAAGACACGTCAACGAAACCGATCGGTCTTCGCTAGATCTGGGTGTTTGATTTGGTACGTTCACATCACTTTGAGGCATGACTTCATTGATCCATGACATGGGTCCATAAAAAAACACCATCTGCTCAGGGTACCCTTTTGGTCGACCCGTGATTTTGAGGACTGGGCTCACCGGGAGGCCACTCGACTTTGCGCAGCGCTCCAGCACCTTCATCGCCTGACGGCAAAGACAAGTGTGTCGAGGAGCTCTGGTCTGATCTGAAGTACTTTCCACCGTTACTCTGCGCAGGAACCCTATGGTGAAGGTGCTCAAGAAGCTCTATGTTCACTTCCGAAGCAAGGGTTCCGTAATTGTCTCAGCTATATGTGGACTCTAAAATCATGCATGTACAGTTTAAAGTGAATTTGTGAGGATGTGGGTGATCTTGGCCATGATGCTTTGGAGGACGGATTGATCATCTGACATGGCCTGATATTGATATTTATTGCTGTGCAGGATATCGAAAATGATCAGGGTGAGGAGCTCGTGATAGAGAACATGGATGATGAGCCAATCATCATCAGCATCAAGGACTGGGTCATGAGTCATAACCAACCGGATCCATCATCCCACCGCATGACCAAACATGATGGAGCCTTATCATCATCGATGGCGCTGCCGGCAGGATCTTCCTTCTCCTGGAGAGGGCATAGCCATGAAGGCCATTCGTGACTGCACTTGGCTCAACATGTGTGAGTGGGTGTACTGTGCAGGCGGAAGATGTGGAGGTCCTGTCCACCCGTTCAACCCTAGCTAGCTACTCAACATGCACGCTCGATTTTTGGAATCACCTGTCAGGCTATCGAGGACACCAAGGACAAGCCTGAAGTGGTCACTGAGAGGGCTCAGGTGCCCAACACGTAGCCACGTAGCCGACATTGATCAGCATGTGTCGGACTTCACCGTTCAGGCCACGGAGGACATCGAGAGCAAGCCTGAAGTGGTCACTGAGAGAGCTCAGGTGCCTAATTGTCCAACATTTTTTTTAGCGCGCATACATGGTTGGGGCTCACCTTTCAGGCCGCGGAGGAGATCGAGAGCAAGGTACCAGTGGCCGTTGAGATGGTTCAGGTGCCTAATGTGTATTGCATTGATTGATCGGAACGATTTTTTTTGTGCGTAGTGTCTAGTATACGTGGGGATGTACCTTTCAGGCTGCGGAGGACATCGAGAGAAAGCCTGAAGTGGCCATTGAGATGGCTCAGGTGCCCTGCAGTGCATGCACATGGATCATGCAGGTCGATCTGCAGCATGAAGCGTGATTGGTCTTCTGTCAGGCCGCGGAGGACACCGAGAGCAAGCCTGTAGTGGGCATCGAGATGGCTCAGGTGCCTAATTGTAGATGCAAATTGATCTGCAACTTGAAATGTGATTGGAGTTGTTAACACACTTTTCAGGCCGTGGAGGACATCAAGAGCAAGCCCCCAGTGGCCAGTGAGATGGTCCAGGTGCCAAACGACTGTATATGCACATGTACGTGCGCATGCACAATTTGGGACTCACCTTGGGACTCACCTTGCAGGCTCTGGAACTCATTGAGGACAGCCAAATGCACTTCCAGGCACCACAGCTGCCTTAATGTGTTCCTTTGCTTGCCGGGCTCACCTTTCAGGCTGTGGAGAGGGATGTGGAGGAGAGCCAGCACATTGATCCTGATCCAGCTCAGGCAAACATGTGGCCAATCGATGGCTTGTTCGGCGTAGTTTTTTTGTTTTCGACTGTTCTTGGTGCACTGGCTGAACCTCCTTCAATTATTTGGAGGTTGTGGAGACCCAGGCTGTGAAGAAGTGCCAGGCCTCTGCCGGAGACGTCGCACGTCGAGCTTTTGTGTTGCATGTGTGAGGGTGGCCTCACAATGGTTAGCCATCCTGATCTAGCTGAGGCCATATAGCTAGCTGTTCAACATGTGGGCCCTCATGTGCACATCTTTGCTGGCCAGACTTTGCCTATGCATATGGAGATCGATCTTCCTGGCCTGGCTTCGTCATCGGTGGAGGACGTGGCGGCTTTGAAGGCTTCGTTTGCAGCATTCTGATAACGTCGTACTTTACTTGCTAGGTAGCTCTTTGCCACTTATTGAGTCGGTTTGTTTCGTTTGCAGTGCAGTGGGTTGAATGAGGCTTTGGACTTTGTACCATACTCAATCAGAATCAAGCAGTTTTTTTGACAAATGGCCTGGAAGCAAGGTGTGGGTGAGCATACACATGCATGACATGCAACGCTTGCCATGGG